CACACACACACACACACACACACACACACACACACACACACACAGCAAAGAAAGAAAGGAAAAAACGCATTTATATTTCAGCGGTGGCCAGACTTGGGAACAGCCTTAATGAGTGAATGAGTCATAATTTAAAATCCCTCCACAGGAACTACTAATAGGAATCCAGTTTGATGCGGCTCACCGTGTCCCATCTTTCCCTGCACGTTCAGCAGCAGTTCAGAGCTGGAATCCAGAAATATCTGTCTTCTGCTTTTCTGTTATTCCCTCCATCCATCCATCCATCCCATCTACATCCTGTCTAGAGTCCTGCTGGGACTGAGGAGGCACATGCCACCAGGCTCCTGACACGTGATCATCAGAGCGTTGCACTTTTTGTTCATCGGTGTGTGCGTGAATAAACCCTGTGTTAAGTATTCCCTCTACTATATTTTACATAGAATCAGCATTACAGCAACGAGAGGATACAATCTCTCCATTTGTAGTGATTTGTCCTTCCGTTTACACATAATGTGTCTTAAAGTGACAGGAGGTCCGTGCACACACTATACATACCAGCATGAGTGAACAATTTTGTATGTGTGCGTGTGCGTGTGTACACCAGCGTGACTCACCAGGCCCGCAGACTAAACGCCTCCGGTAAGTCTGGGTTGACCAAGACTGTTGAACTGAACGAAGCAGAGAGAGATCTGCCTCCATAATCAGACAAGCGAGCTCCTTTGATGGCGACCACCGGGTGCCGAGAGCCGTCAAACTTCTCGGCCTGGAGAAGCAACAAACTGTGTCAAAGACGGTAATTGAGGAGAGAAAGATGTAGAACAATAGGTGGAAAAAGCAGTGATTGTCTCTTTAATGTTCAGTCTGTTTCTGCAGTTTGCAGGGACCAGAAAGTAATACAGCGGGTAAAACAAGTATTTAACACGTCACCATTTTTCTCAGTAAATATATTTCTAACGGTGCTATTGACATAAAATTTTCACCAGGTGTCGGTAACAACCAAAGTAATCCATACATACAAAGAAAACCAAACAAATAAGTTCAGAAATTAAGTTATGTGTAATAAAATGGAATGACAGGGAAAAAGTATTGAACACACTTACTGAAATGTATTTAATAGTTCGTACAAAAGCCTTTGTTGGTAATGACAGCTTCAAGACGCCTCCTGGATGGAGACACTAGTCGCATGCATTGCTCAGGTGTGGTTTTGGCCCATTCTTCCACACAAAGTCTTCAAATCTTGAAGGTTCCGTGGGCCTCTTCTATTAACTCTGATCTTTAGTTCTTTCCAGAGGTTTTCTATTGGATTCAAGTCAGCTGATTGTCTGGGCCATTCTAGCAGTTGTTACCGACATCTGGTGAAAATTTCCTGTCAATAGCACCTTTAGAAATATATTTACTGAGGAAAATGGTGACGTGTTCAATACTTATTTTACCCGCTGTATGTGGTATAGTTTGCTTTTATAATTGGACAACCTACAAGTTAATTTGAAAGTCGTTTCTGGATTTTGGCAAAGAGGAGGGATTAGCTCTTGCAGATTGAATGAGCTTAGAGAATAATAGCGCCATTTCACGCACATTCGAGAGTTATTTAGCCTTCCGTCTCAAATCAGGGACTCTGGTCCAAAACACTCCTGAAGGTCACGAGAATGATGTGACCGGTCCAAATTGAACAGCCCAGAGAACCCAATCAAAAGCCTCTGTATGCAAGAGCACACACACAGATACGTTACGCACCATAGATGGATGGGCACCTTCATAAACACACGATTAATTACAGGATATCCCTGAATACAGAGTGAGTGAGAGATGATAGTTATTACCTCCTCTCCCCACACTGTGACCGTAACCACTTTGCCAGTTGTGTCTATTAGGTTGAGGGCCCTCTTGGAGACTTCTCTGCTGTTCTTCGTGGTGATACGGGATACATCATCCGCACTCTTGCACACTCCAATCACATCTACAGACAGAGAGAGAGAGTCATTTTACACCTCCATCTACAGATAGCTCATGAACACAGGCAGACAAATAGTCTTAAGATAAAGATGTTGTGTTACGTGAGGAGAGCCTTTTGAAATGTCTCCATGTGGTGTTCAGTGTAAAAAATGCCTGTGAAGTGGTATCACATAAGTAGTGAAGACCCCAACACAGCAGAGTTGACACTCATGATATTGCCAAGTCACAGTAGACTGACATAAATGTCATAACAGGCTGGCTAACGCCCAGGTCCACACTGCAAATCACAACAAACACTCATTCATGTTTCCTGTCATGCTCAAGGCCGCAACACTTCATTCAGATTACGGCACTGAAGAGCAGCCACTCCCGAGCTCTAAGAAGGTGTAGAGCCTGGCCTCCCATGACTAATGTGAAAAACCTTAACCGAACAAGACAAATTCATTCATAAAGTGCTTGTGTACTACGAACGGGCTCGTCACAAGGTTACTGAAATCAAAGAAAATAAGATTAAATCGAGAAACTGTCGACAGGATTAATGCATCTCATTGCTACGACATGAGTTAGATAGTCTGTGTGTACAAATCCATTTCTACGATTGAACCTTTAGTCTATAAATGACAAATGGTCATGACTTAAAGAGTCCTTTTTCTGACTAAAAAAACATTTACAAAACAATTTCATCCATTTGAAACGCAGCCAAATGTAAGAAGCTGTAAGCAGCAGGGGTTTGTCATTTCACCTGATGAATAACTTACAAGTTGCCCTCAGGAGTTTTCTTGTAGACAAACAAAGTTGTGTAAACTTTCAATGTTACTTTCCAATACACAGGGTTTGGGACTTGACAAATGTGTTGAATGCATTTCCTTATTAATCAAACATTTGCAAAGCAATTTTTTAATATTGCATTGTTTACGTCCATGTTTTCGAGCGTACAGTCGTGTTCCTTGTCTTTGTCGCCGGATTGCCGAGGTTCTTTGCTGCCATCCGCCGATCACTAATAGTGTGAAAAATGCAGCCGACATATGTATTGCATTGTGTGTGACCCACTCGAAAAACATTGCTCCATAGCACTACTGCTTGTCACAGATTCCACAGGGCTCCTCTGGATGGCTCAACAATCACATTTGTGTTGGTTCATGTTCTGCCCATCATCTCATGGCGTCAGACCCAATGCCCACGCGTTATAGAAAACGACTGGACAGAATTATAATAGTTTGCAAACCAGTCATTCTCTGAACATCATCCTCCTGTCTGCTATTTCTGCTCACCTTTCTCTAAACTCTCTCCCCCTCGCCCTCCTCCTCCCCCCGGTCCTCTCCTGCGCCGTCTGCGCTCTCTCAGCCCTCCTTAATTCCATTATGATTGAGACGATGTCACCCACCTCTGAACTCCATTATCACCAGAGGAACAGGCTGACAGTTCTCATTACTGTGTCATAATCCCCTATTTAACAAAGGAGCAGGAAGAGCGGCGGTAGAGAGAGAGTGAATGTAGAGACAACAGACGACACACGGGACATGTAACGCTGCCCAATGCAAACGCACTCCTCCAGGTAGAGGCCGTTATTTTAGGAAGGTGACGAAATGGATGTTGTGATCACGTGCGCAAACTGTGCTCATGGAAACTAGGGCAATGTGAATAAACGATCATTTTTTCTGTGATTGGATAGCTCCTGGTTCAGATTAAAATGTGTGCCAAATTTAGAAAACCATGCTTGTATTTCTCAAACATAAGTCCTCACCCTTGCATACGGACCAAGACCAGTTTTTTTTTTTTTTTTAAATGACACCCTCATTGCCACAACTACAGAACCGTTGTCATACCCGTGCATCGTGTCACTGAAAATATTGAGCAGACTGCCAAAAGCACACGTTGAATCGCTAATTTCAACCCCAATCTTTACTTGGACCATCCTAATTTACCCGTCACCGAGATAAGACATTCCCGTCAGGCACAGAGGGCAGACACTGCAACTAACCTTCACGAAAACAGTGGAATGAGCATTATCCTCGTTTTATCTCTCCTCTTTACCATATGCCTGAATTAACCTTCCCTCTGACCCCGTCATAACGTATTCTTTCAGGACACCTGGTACGTAACAGACCGACACGTGCCAGTCCATTAACGCAGTGTTTTTTAATCATCTATAACTTGTAATTGCCTGGGTTGACGGAGCTCATTGGAATGAATTGAGTTTAAAAAGGGACATCACAATTAACGATATAATATATACAACTAAAGCTTACTGCAAAGTTAATATTTTGTTATCATTAACATGTCTGCCAGTAGATGGAGATTTTTTTATTGCCGTAATTCGGCACAATCTTGTACAGTTCAGTAGTTGTGGGGAAACTCTCCAACTCAAGGTCTTTATGCAGGTCGCTGTTGCGTATATTCCTCTGTAGCATGCAACAGTGTCGAATCCCCTACTGTAGGCTATAATTTTCTCTCATCCAATATCTCCATGACCGCCTTTCATATTAGTTAGTCACGGACCGCTTTGCTTTAGAAAGACCTCGTTTAGCATTTCACTTCACCTCGAACCATTCCCTTTACTTCTGCGCCGCTCATCAGGAGCTGTACTAATTAATATTTCCCAACAGTTCTGGGTCCTCCAACACCACTACTGTCACTACTGAGCTTATCATGTGCCGATTTCCGAAAGCAGGACCTGAAGCCCCACAGTGTGAAACTCTTATTTCTCTTCGGTCACATTTTTGTGAATTAAATGGGTTTTTATTTCTTCTTTTTGCCCCAATTTCTGGGTTCATGATTTATTTATCTTTTTCTCCATTATTGCAAGACAGAAAACAAACCACTAACGGAACGAAAAGACGACGACATGAACAGCGCACACAGGCCAGTTGACAACATTTTGACAGAGGTGAGGATTTGTGCGTTTGTACGAGTGTGTCTGAACTATGGGAAACCATCTAGGAAAGGGAATAAATGACCAAGTTGTGTTATATTTGTTTGATTGCTTGATCCAGTTTTGTGTCGCACCCAGATCCTTATAGGAGGTGGCCCATTGTGAGCTTGATCCCTGGGGATGATAGGGCCTGTTTATTAGGAATTGAAGCAATAAGGCGACCCAGCCCTCCTTACCCATACCACCTAGCTCCACAGGGAGCAGTCAGAGTGGCCCCATGGAGCTCCAGCAGCCAGGGACAGTGCGGGGCACGATCGTCATTGAGAATTCATATTAAGGTGGCGGAGTCGTTTTAGAAAAAAAACAACTAAATAAAAATAAATAAATAAAAATTAGAAAGATGCGGGTGTGTGAAGGGGTGACTCCGTAAAAAGAATACAAAAAGGAAGATTTAATATTCATGACAAAAATGTATAAATAAAATTGTATTTTCACTTGTGAATGAAACCAACAACTAACTAACGTGACAGTCAGCCTTAGATGGCATTTTTAAGGGTGTAGATTTATGTAAATGCACAAATCTCATATATGCCCCCATGAACATATCAGAATTAAACAAGCAACAATCTATAGAGCGATGCCAGTCCAAGTGAGTCTAGAGTCGAGTAAGCTGTCGAGCAAAACATTATCGACAGCCTTATTACTCTTCACACAGATACCGACACAAGCCGCTTCCTCACCTGACCGGACGACTGCACTACTCGCTGGGCTGTCGATAGTCTTTGCTTATGATTTTCAAAATCGATGTGAAATACATGGCAGCCATTCAGGAGTGTGGTAAAAATGTTCCTGCCACCAAAGTCAATATCTGAATGAATTTGTAGCAAAAAAAAAAATGCAACACTGTTGCTGGATCACAGTTCATTTCTATCTTTAAACAGTTCGTTTACAACGTTTGGGGCAGGAGTGAGTCATGTCATCACCTGAGCCCTCAACGCAGACTGTTGATTGGGTTTGACGCATAGCTTTCTTAATCAGTTGATTATGAATGTTTTCGAGCCTTTGTTGCAAAAATGAGCATGTGAACAAAACAATTCAAAGCTCTTCACTGTTCTTAACCCAGCTGTCCTAAAGTGGTCCCTCACTGTTAAAGTTGAGATGGAATGAAATACGCCTTAGATCGCATCACTGGTCGTATTGGGCACCTATTTCACAATATATGCAAAAAACAAAAACGTCTTCCTGTAAAACAAAACTAAACACGACATATGCTTACATAAGCTTGTACCGACCACTTTCAATCAATAGGACATCCATTCAATCGATCTGCAACGTTTCGGGACAAGGCAGGCGAGTGTGGAGCCACAGTCCTCTGTAGCTTTATATTGCTCGACATTCTAAGCCGCACACTTTAGCGGTCCAATAAAATGCAAAAGGATTTGATTTTAAATCCCTCTTGTAACTGTACACCACTCAAATATTCTGTTTCACTGGGGGAATACTCAGTGCATAAGCTGAAGATGCTCTAATTTCTGTTTTACTGGGACTTTAAATCGTTCTTTCATCGGTAAATGGTAGAAATGAGTCTCGTTGGTGAAGATTCTTCTCTTACCGATGACGGCGTCCTTGTCTCTGTTCTCCAGCTCAGCGATGGGCACAAAGTCACAGTGCACAGCGGGGATGTCTTGACTGTCATCACATGGCACGATGGACGACTGAGCGTGGAGGGTCATCTCGTAGTCGTTCTTCAGCGTGGTGTACTGTTTATTGGCCACCTTCAGGGTAGCCTTGGTGATGAAGTACACCTACAGGGAACGGGCGAGCAAGGTGAGTTAGACCCGATCGCACTGTGACCACTTTATAGATCCTGCAAAAAGGAAATTATTACCACAACAAAGCTTCTGTTCCACCAAAAGCTTTTAATAACAAAAGGAAAAAACCTTGAGGTCCAACTAAGATGCGCTGTCATATCAGGCCCATCACTTCTCTAATACACCACAAAATAAGTAGCAGCGAAGAGCAAGTCTACTCACACTCACTCACTCACTCATATATTTACCCCCCACACAGAGATAGGAGCATGAAACTAATGTGATAAGCATTCCGGCTGCTCAGAGCCAGTCACACCCACTCACTGTTCTGTCAATACTCGGATCACGAAGGGAAGACGGATTCATTCCTTTATTTATCTTCCGAGGGCAGAGGGCACAAATTGGATCTGGGGCCGTGTTGGGAGTCACTGCCAGTGGCTGATACCTGAGCCAGTGCGGCTAGCAAAATGACGGCCGGGGGTTAATTGAGCTATTAAGCTCTGTGGGCCAGACTGGGTTGAGCAAGAGCTTTAACATCCAGGAACATGCAAAGGGTTTGTTCTCAGTGGTCAGACTGAGCACCACACAGTTTAGCATAAACAACACACAGTCTGTTGCATAAACAATAGCCTGAGACGAGTGATAACTCAAAAATGTTGACATCTCTCACCGTCTGCCATCCTGCATACACATACATACATACATCTTGCATTTTACTTTTTGTCACTTTATTGATGGTGTTTGTATTTGTTTAACCCCTTAAATGCGATATCTACCGAGTGCTTGACTTCACATGTAGAAAGCATTACTACGAGGTCCACTTGATGGCTGCACTGTTTCCTCATGAGTATTAATAAGGTGTTATCAAATATGAATTGTTCCTTAATATTCATGATTATTTTAAAGATCCTACGGTGTAAAATTTGATTGCAGGCCTCCAGCAAGGTCAGAAGCCAGCATTGCTGTCAGTTATGTAACAGCAGATTGAGCTGGTGGGCATTACATGCATTTCTAAAAAGAACTGTAAAGCAGATAGCTACTGACAAGATATTTAAAAAAAGGACCCTGTGGATGAAAGATGATCTGTTAACAAATGCTACCTCCAAGAATTTGATATTCAGATCATTAATATAGCAACAAACAACTATTTGCTGCATAAAGATGTAGGGTGTCCCTGTTCAGTGCAAAGATGTTTTCTGGATTCCAGCTGAAGCTAATCTGAAGCTAATATGAAGCTTCGGTTGCCTGAGTCAGAGTGGGAATATTTAAAATTTACAGGCTTTTTAGAATGAAATTCCTACTTTGCTTTTAAACGGACAGCGTCTCCGTACTCAGTAGTGCCTGAGGGATACATCTTGGTAGTAACATTGCCAGGACACACGATGGCTACAAACCTTCACCTGACCACCACTAGGGTCTAGATACTGACTTAATTAGGCTAACTGGGATTGATGAAGCCTCATATTATCTTTAGAATGCACTTCAGCGCAGACGATTGGATTTTCTTTTCTCTCCCCGTATCTTCCAATGTAGTCGCTACAAATGGATTGCATCAATTTCAGTGTGGAGCGGAGGAGTGATGACAGTGACCCATACAAATTCTAATCTCAGTATCAATTACTTATGTTGAGGAGAACTTATATAAACCCATCCACCACGGTGAACACAGCCTCCAAGGCTGGCAGCCATTTCTGATACAGTAAAAACAACTTGAAGCTAACGCTTGCACAACAGCAAAAACAATAGACACATCAGCTTTGAAGTCTTCTCACGCTGCTCTCCACAGCATACTCCATGCCTCATGAATCCACTCAAACGCTCAATGTGTCTGAAACGCATACATTTCTGTAAAATATTACAGCACTTAATGAATTCCCTCCACAACATCCTCTAATACTTGCCTCTGGCTCATTCATTGGCCAGAAGTCCTGCAGGCATGAGAGGGTTTTGCAGAAGAGTTTATTATGTACTATTTTACCTAGGATAAATTAGTTGGAGGCGTTATGTGCATACAAAATGGATGGCTGAGAAAGTTACTAAGTAGTTTGTTTATATATTATGTAACGCAATACGTACAAAAGTTATCGTTTTTTAGTGAAGTTTCAAAAAAGCTCTTATCACTTCAAGTGAGGATGGATATGGGTGAGTGGGATTTGCTCACCTTGCCTTGCTCCACTAGAGAGAAAAACTTATCCACTTCGTTGTTGAAGGCTGTGATCTTGATTTCTCCCTGTTGACGAGCACATTTCCATTAAACGGATAAAAACCAAAGACGGCCATGTGTGACGTACGTTGACATGCATGCACGTGAAGAGATATTCAAGCGTCTCCGCTCTTCTACTCACACTCTCATCCACTATCTCAAAGGAGAAGAGCTTGCCCTCGCCTCTGGAGTTACTCCAGGTGCGGATACTGGATTTGTTGGATACTCGGGCTCTGATAGTCCACCTAAGGATGTACATGGAGCAGACACTTGTAATAATGAATCAGTGCTCACAAAGTACACGTCAACAAAACTACACAACCGAAAAGTCCCAGCATTTCCTACTCTTCAAATGAAAGCAGCTTGCAACACTAGCTTCAAAAGTTGGTAAATCTAGTGAGAAAGTTGCAGAACACCGACGCCAACTCTGAGACGGTAGGAAACACTGGCAGCCCTTCTGGTCTACCGCCAAAGCAACTCCCCCAAAATTACCATTATACACGTAAAACTATCATATTTTAATAGAAATGATTTGACAGGCTTATTATAGTCTTTATAGCCAGGTTGTTTTTGGGATGGAAGAGAATTTCAACAGATAACAAAAACATTACCTTCCGTAGCTTTAAATGTTACTTCTGGTTAGTGGGCATGTTAACAAATGTTTTACGTGAATGTCCATCATGTTTTCATCAACAGATTCATTTTATGTGAATGCACACAGAACACTTAACATAAATCCTTTGTAAAAGATTACAAAAGCGTTCTTTGACTAACACATGTGCAACTTAACTATAAGAGTTGCAGTCTAAAGGTCAGAGCGTACAATAAAGAATGCTGCAGAGACACATGCTTCTTTGTTAATGAGCACCACTCAGCACACATCAGTCACCAATAAGAAACACACAAACAAAGTGTATTTTTAAAGTTCCAGGAGAGAAAAGAAAAAAAGAAAAGCATCCAGCAACTTTCTTTTCAAAGAGTGAACTGTGTTGTACATCTGCCAAACTCCTGGTTGCATTTAAAATGTGCTTCTTGTTTCTGTTTTTAACAACAGCCAGCCAAGCTCGGCAGTTTATGCAGCAGTGAGCTTTTTGACTGCGTTGATAATTGTGCAGTGGAGGATATTCATACCATAACTTCGCCTGCAATTAAATCCCCTATCATGAGAGCAGCTGCTGGCCCAGAGTGAACCCCATTCCCTGCTCAGTATGGATAAGACTGCTACACCAAGGTTTATAGCAGCCAAAAGCCAATTATAGTCTGCTCTAGATGCTATTACTTAACACCAGCAGAATGGGATGAGAGAGCCATGCAAACGGCCATGAAAGGCCATGTGAACATACACAGCATCCCTATATAATCCACCGAGCGAAAGACTTTGTGTCACACAAACTCGCACTTTTCATTTCACGCAAGCATACGTGGAAGAACCACAGCTGCTGAAGTCATCGGTTTTACGCACTGTAGGTACTCCCAAACTTCAAAGTTAGAACAGTCATCAGTTTATTACAACACCTAGAGGCACAGTTATCTTTACAGCTTGCAATTTCAAACAGGGCTACGTTATCAGAGCCCATACATGGAGGGAGAGTTGACAGGGTACCTTTACTCCGATCTGAAGAGCTACACCTTGCTCTTGTCTTTTTGTGGCCAACTTTAAGGTCAGAGACTTAAGCCAAATTAAACGATAAGAGAAGGAGGGGAGACACCAGTAAAAATGAACCCTGGAGGAGGTAAAGAAATTATGAGAGGGAATGAAGGGAAAAAAAACCCAAAAAAAAACACACACACACACACACACACACACACACACACACACACACACACACAAACGACTTTGGCCAAATCCCCAACGGGCCGAATAACAGAATCAAAACCTCAGCAGGAGACCTTAAAGACCCTGCCTTTAAAGTGTCCGTTTCTCAGGCAAGATCGGTCATTTCATTTCTATGGAGATGGGCTGACACACACACACACACACACACACACACACACACACACACAGAGAAAAACTGAATGCCCACATATACATGCACGTACACATCTCCAAACATGCCCTTAAGTACTACTAAGAAAAGGCAGCAAACAGGCAAGTGGAGTCACAGCATGAGAGGAAATAGCTCAGCTGTTGAACGAGCAGTAGAGGAAAGACGGTGTTTGCTTAAATTTTAGGAGGAAATACATGCAAGTCGTCACTATCCACCTCGAAGTGAAGTCATGTTTAAAGACTTTTACATACACCATACATGTGTGTGAAAGCAGGCGCATGCAGAAATGGACACATACACTTAAACTTACTTGCTTTGGTAGGGGTTCAGGTGTGCAAGAGGAATCACTTTTGATGAGGAACCTGGAGAAGTGCTGGTAGCCTTCATGGGTGAGGCCTTCATGGGTGAGGCCTTCATGGGTGAGGCCTTCATGGGTGA